TCATATGCATAGCTTGTAATATCTTGTGACTGGAATTTCTTTGATGAGTAATTACATTGCAAAAACACACCCTATTACGGGGTTAGTGTCATTTTTTGCCAGGAAGGTTGAGGCAAAGTTTCCCAACTATTGCGTTCTTTTGTTGAGAATTTATTTTTGTTAGCTTCTATCAAATTTATTGTAGTCAGAAAGTACGACACGGTAGGAATGTACAGCAGAGAGAGAGTTATAACAGGCAACATTGGTCCCAAAGTATGCATGCACTCTGCTATTTATCTGGATTTGAAGAAGAGCAACAAGGAGAAATCTGATAAGCTTGAGAGCTTGACATAATGATGCTGAAGAAAGATTAACACATAATGCCTACTCTTTTTTAAAACAGAGCCTTGAATTAAAACTTATAGAAGAAGCAAATCTGTTACCGAGTGTCTGAAGGGTTGCTGAAAAGTCATGGAAGTATGTATTAAGAATTTTGGAAGAGTTCATCATATCTGTTTTATGCTCTTTCTTTTCATCTTAATGCATTTGAATCTGAGATGCATGTACTGATTAATCTATGACTATAACCTAGTAACGATGGTCAAGAAATATTGTATATAGAACTTAATGCCCCACATTAATTGTAATCATAGCTTGTGAAATCTTCAGCTGGTGTCATTTGCATTCTCTTTTCCTTTTAGATGAGATTTTATGTTATTTTTATAATTGTGTTGTTCTTTCATTAAATATAGGAAATTATTTTTATGTAGTTGTTATCCAGATTACCTAGAGTACTGTGTGACTATCTAATATATATGAAGGAAATAGATGCTTCAAAATTGTTTATCTTGCTGACCCTCCACACATTACCATTTGTAGATATAGATGACAAGTAAAGGGTTGTAATTGAAGTAGCCACTAACTACATGATTTCCATCTAACGGACCTCTGAAAGAGTTCATTACTGTATTTCATATAGATTCTTTTATCTGAATTGATACATGAAATGTCATATTTGTTAAACATTATATCTGAATGCTAACTTTCATGTCAAGTAGCATTGGAATTATTAACTATAATACTCATTTCCATGTCTTATCTATGTTGTTATAAATCTATTTTTCCTTGCACCATATTTTTTATTTGTTTTTTTATTTTTTTGTTTTTGCACCTTTGTACTAATGGTAAAAACAATCCATATTATCTTACTATATGTGGAAAGATATGATACACTTTAATGTTCCTATTGCTTTATTGGTTTCTTCTAACACTAATTTGATCTCTTAGAATTTCCAGTTTTTTGCAATTTTAAATGATTGCAAATCATTGAATTTGCTTCCTTGTCATCTATTCTTGACCATGTTTCTTTGGCTAATAACTCTCTTGATAAAATCCAGAATGTTTTCTCGTGAGTCTTTTTTTGATAAATTCATTGATGTTTACTTAATTTGTCACTGGAAAGAGAGTTGAGCTCCGCTGCTCATAATCTACAAGCTGTTCAAATAAAATGAAATAAATAAATGTTCATGATCTGCTGGAAAAATGACGAACATGTCCATAAGAAACACTTTAATCTCCAAAGTTGGTGCAAGCAGCGTCAACCTTTGGTTTTGTTGGATGTTATCAGCTCTATTGGTGTAAAGTTCTGAATCAGATTAAATGTTTATATCGTACTTATTAAAGTTTGTTTCCTTTTGGAGGGATTTTTAAAGCTTTGTTTAGTTTCTTCATAAATCGTTATGTGCTAGTTGGATAAGCTGTGATCTTATATTTGATTGAATCAATCTTAGTTCATCCATTGCGTAAGCCTCCCTTACCTGCTCTCATTGCTGATATTTGGTTTAGGTTTGGATATGATTAGACCTGGCTTAAACTGAGTCCTGTCCTTAAGTTTTTAGCAACTTTTTTGTAAGCCTGGAACAACTTTGGAAGCTTTAAAGTTTGATTAATTATGATATAACTTGGAATAAGAGTTAGTGGTTTGCCATGTAAGATTGTGCGAACTGAAACAATTGAAGAAGGAGACCACCAAATTAGAAAGGTATTACAAGAAACCCAGAACTTAAATTTTTGTTCTTTCTCTTAGAGAAAGAAAAAAGTTGCTATTTGGCTCTCTTTACATTGTTGCTCAATGGTTGAATAAACAGAGATATGGAGGAGATGGTATCTAAGAAACAGATGGCCAAATTATTGGCAAAACTAAGAAGGTAAATGAGCTACCACAAGTTTTGTTTACACTAACGAGAAATTAATGGTTTTGTTGCTAGTTTTGACCTTATTTATTGTGTGAACAGAGAGATGTTGGAGTTGCTATCAAAGAAACAGAATGGGGAATGCCAAGCAATTGTAGTCTCAAATCTGTCTGCGACCAATCAGAAGTTGGATCTTGATACTTCTTTGTTGGTTCCTTTCAAATCTGACCTTGATAGTTCATTTATCACATTGGTAGGAAATCAATGAATCAAGAGGAATTTCAGATGCATTTATCTTTGAAGCAATTTATATATATGAATGAATCATTCATTAATTTCTGTTGTTTCTTGCTTTAATAGGAAAAGTATAAGGAACAACTGATGGTTATCTCAGAATACATGAGCAGAATTGAGGTATCTAAGAATTGACATTATTCTCTTTGCAATTCCACTAGATTATGTTTCAAATGCTTCATATGATAGTGCAAGTTCTGAATGATTTATTTCATGTTGTGCACTTTCTTAAATAGTTGCAGTAAGGTTGCTGATACATTAATTTTTTTAAATTTAAAATATGTAGATCAAATTCATTTTGAGGTGTGGGTCATATGACATGAGATTTAAATCTTTGCCACATTTAAATTCTGAACAATTTTTTATATCTTTTTTGATAGCATAAGGAAGGACTCTTTGCTTATAGTAAAATTGTAAGAGTAGTCTTAACTTTCTAATGAAATATGAAAAAACTGCTTTTTGAGTGATAGTGTTAAACACATATGCTATGATATTGGTGATGATTGGACTTCCAGATAATCTGCAATATGTGTTTTTCTTTTGTGTGCAATACAACTGACTCTTTTACCAATTGGGAACTCAATCTTTTAGCCTCTAAATCTTCAATGATGAGTGATGATGATAATTAGTTTAGTCCATTATTTGCAGGTTGGAATGTTTCATATATGGGGCAGATTCCTATACAAATTAAGATATGGTTTAAAAAACTTATAATTTATGCTATGCCCGTTGATGTATGGTATAAGAGAGTTGCACATCGTATTATTTTTGACATACAAACATACATAGAATCAAAATCATCATGACATGGCTCACGATGAAGATGTTAATATGCATATAGCATGGCATTTATGTACTATGGTCGCAGGAAGAGATAAAAAAGCTTAAGTCCAAGGTGGAAGAAGAAGAAACAAAGTTGGACTCATCAGCATTAATGGTGGTGACAGAGTTGTACTGAAAAAGAGAAAAAGAAAGTGAGAGAAAATGGCAAACAACAGGAAGTGGGAACAAAAGGAGCTGATAATCAGAGCCAAACAAGCACAGCAGTAGAAAGGACAGCAGCAGAGGAAAAAGCAGCAACGATACAGAGGCTGAAGAGTGGGTTTAGGATCTGCAAACCCCAGGGGACTTTCCTTTGGCCAAACATGGTCAGCAACAACAACAACAAAAACTGCAACACCATTACCAGCATGTTGTCTTCTTCTCAGGTTGTGGTCCAGGTTGAAGATCTTTTAGTGGTCCAGATTTTTCAATTAAAACTTGTAGGAACCAAGTGAAATTGCAACGGGCAAGAAAAATTTTCATAGAGAAACTCAGGTAGCTTTTTCTAAATTTTTTTTTTCTTTTCTAATTTTATGAAGAGAACTACATAGTCCATAGACTAGACTTCTATTTAAGTTTAGGAGTAATTACAGTTTAAGGTAAGGATTGTTATTACTTTATTATTGAGTTGCTCAATAATAGGATGCATTTGAGGATTGTTATCACTTTAAGGACTGCTATAAAATTTAACTGTTTTTTACTTTGGTGCTTCCCATCTTAGATATAAGGATATTTCACAAAGTTTGTAAAAATAAAAATGTTACGCCCTCAAAATATTACATATAAGCCTAACATTCTTGATATGCATTGACATAAGGGAATAAAGCATATTTCCATTTATCAAAGTATTCATTACAAAAGTATTACATGTTGACAACAAAAGTAAATGTCCTACGGGCTTACAACTTTTCAAGCTAACACTTGGTTACAAAAAGAGAGTACTAACTCAAAACACATTAAGCCTTTGGCTTGAATTTACATGTAATATCAAAACAACAAAAACAACCAAAAGAGTCTTCAACTCCCAAAACCTCCCAAGCTACGTCCTTGGAGGTGGCATATCACCTGAACTTGAAAATGATGTCCCATATAGGGTGAGCCAATGCAGAGTAGAGATATACTAAACCAATTATAAGCAATAACTAAAACATTAGCATTCGGTAAATGGTTAACACTTGTAAATCAACTTACAACACTTCAAAGTTACATGACAAATAGACCTGTATTTCATTCCAGTTTCCTTTACTAATCCAATTCAAATTCATAAACATGGCTCATTATCTAGCCAAACAATTCAGTAAGATTACAACTCATATTAAAACATTTCCATACTTCAATTATCTACGTTATGCAAATGTAATCAAGATTTCGGGACTTTCACCCTGGACACTCCGGCCAACTTAGTTATCAATGGAGTCCATCCCCTATCTTCTCCCAAACAGGTTTGAGAGTCCATCCCTTATCTCCTCTCAAACCATGGAGTACTTCCCCTATCTCTTCCCAAACAATATACATATACAATGTATTTAAACACTTATCATATGCAATGATCAATCAATACACATTCGATGTATTATTCCAACCGTCATATTCAATGACATAACCCGTTTGATTGGTTTCAGTTTTCCCTAATCAAAATACAGTGTCTACAACAATCAAGACTATCCTCCACCGATAGCCCAAAGCAGTTATCTCTAAACATATAATAAATTTATCAACAGATAAAATATCAACATTTTCATAGGTGAGTGATTAAATTATCCAACTACACCAATTACTCTCACAATTCCCCAATTTATGATTCTCAACTCAATTTCACATTTCCCCAAATTAATTATTCAAATTAATTATTTAACATAATTAGGGTATTTTTCCTTCTTTCTCAACTATCAACCCTAAGGTTCAATTTCATCAATTTAACAACAATAATTCCATTTTCCAAGGTCTCATATACACATGGGTCTTAACATTTGAAAATCCCCTTTTTATAACTTCAAATCAAACCCTAATTTTTTCAAAATTACCAAATAACACCATTTAATCAAAATGACTAAAATTTATGTCAAAACTCATAAGAAAGACAAAGAAACCTCGCTCGAGCGCAGAAAGCCTCGCTCAAGCCAACAATTCGAAGTTTCAGGTCTGTAACCCAGAAGCACGCTTGAGCGAAGAAAAGCTCGCTTGAGCGAAGAAACCCAAAACATAGTCCTCGCTCGCTCGAGCGAAGGAAATCTCGCTCGAGCCAAGAAACACAACCTTCAAGTCCAAAACTAGACTTAGACGCACGCTCGAGCGAAGGAACCCTGGCTCGAGCGAAGGAGCTAAAACACAGAGCTCGTTCAAGTGACAAAAGCCTCGCTCGATCGAAGACACCAAAAACTGGGCAGCAACCTTTTGTTTCTAATCACAACCAACCTGTTACAAACCTGCCCAACATATCCTAAAACTCATATACAAAGAATTAAAGGACGGAAATGAAACATATACTACAATACTCAATCACGGAACCCAAGTCCAGAATATTGTACATAAAGGGGAAAACCCGGGATCGTTATAAAAAAATTGGTTAATACTTGTAGGAGCCAAGCAAAGGGGCAAATGGACACTCACATTGCTCAAACTGCAGAGTTCTTTTTCTTTTTGCGATCTTAATTTTCTACTAACTTTCTGGTACCCAAGTGATAGTTCTTTTTCTTTTTGTTTGTGTCTAAACTTCTATGCCATGTGAGTTATACATTTTCTCATGTTCTTTTTTGCATTCCCAATGGCTATATATATGTCTTGTTTTCTTTTGAAAATAATCTAGAATAGAAATTGTATCCTTTAGCCTTTTTGTAACTTTGCTGATAGTTGTGAAGTTTCTATGATATAATTGTGCTTTGATGTAAGCTTTTCAGTTGGCTAATGTTTCAATTCTTCCGGTTAAACTCACCATTTTTCTCCTACATTATTTATTTATTCAAAGCTAATCTTCTTTTCAAAGAAGCATGGTCCTTGATCCATCCAAATTTCTACTTAACCAATGCCATAGGTTTTAAGCCATCGGGATTATGATAGTGTTGCAGCAGATGTCTGATCATTTGGAGTCATCCTTTATGTTTTGATGGCTGGATATTTTCCATTTGATGACATAGACCTTCTAACCTTGTACAAAAAGGTTACTTGCTCTTATTCTTTTACATGCAATTTTGCTTCTCTCTAGTTGAATTAATTTCAGTGTGTGAGCACATTGCTCAACTGATCATGGAAAAAAAATATTATATTTGACAGATTGAGATTAGTCCAGTTATCTCCATCCTAAACGAAATCCGCCTTAGCTTCCATAACTATTGCTTAATCTTTCGTTGTTCTTTAGCTTGTTCTTGATCGTTAAGAAATTAGAACATGGTCAAAGCAATTCTTTTTAACTTAGAAAGTAAAGTTTTGGACAAGTTATTCTTTTCAATGGGAGGAAGAGACATGTAAACTTATATGTTAGGTATTATAGAGCTTAGAATGCATTGTTTGGTCGTTGAGAATCTGGGAAAAATATGAGGAAAATAGGGAATTACTAGTCTTTAGGTGGGTTGGAATTTGTTGGATCCTAAATGAAGTATAATTTGCTCCTATATTGTTAGTTTAAATAGATTTATCTCATCTCATGCTTATGTTTCTTGTATAATTGTATTGTTTACTTCAATAGGTCAGATCACCATATTTCTATATACTAATAATTCAATAGTTGCACATCCTGGGTTCTTCACAATCTATTGAATATGGCTTTGCTAAATGCTAATAGCGAGAGCTTAAACTATTTTCTCCTTTTCATCTTCCCTGGAGAGCAGATAGAATGGTTTTATTGGTTTGTATTGCAATCTAGATATTTGCTTGTCTGGTGTTTGACTAGACTGTGCATTATTGTTTTGTGCTTTTACGTACAACAGTAGCACTTTAAATCTTTCGGGTTTCTATTTTTATGGCTATGAAAATCGTGGCAGAGAAGTGTTTCTATTGTATATTTATTTCTTGGTGGTGATGTGAGTTTAGGGTGCATTGCGAAGAAAGTGGTGAAGAAAGCTCAGAGGTGGAATCGGGTGTATGCACTGAAGTGCCACATATCACATGAAGTGAACCATTTACATGAGGGGCTTAAGCATGTAAGTGTTATTGCTGAATTGATGTAAGGCTTCTCCTTCTTTGGGCCATAGTGCGATTTACATTAAAGATTCACGTATCACTAGCTTGCCAAGGCAAAAATTGGCTAAACTTTTCTTGATTGTTGGCTTGAAACACGAAGCATTAGGTCTCAAATAGTACTTGATTTGTTTATTATTTTATTATTTTATATTTTTTATTTTTGTTCCCCCCTCCCCAAATAAACAGGTACTTGACCATTCAGTTTGTGCGGTTTCTGGAAAAGGGAATCAAATCAGAAGGCCAAGATTTTGTGGGTAACTTCAGTTTTCAACATGCTCATATTTTTTAAGGAGAATGCATCCCTGCACTGTACCCCTGTTTACTGTGGCATGGTTAGGTCTTATCGGGTGAAGTTGGTGGTCAAGCTCCCAAGAGGACAAAAACCTTGACACTAAGAGATGTCCTTGGTAAAAGATTAAATGCTTGGATAATGGGTGGTCTATCAATCTAAGTTCATGCAACTTGGGCCTGTGACCACCTCTCGGGTGCTTCATTGTAAAATAAATGTACTGTATTCTTTGAATTTGGCAAGTAAAAATTTACAGATATTTTGATCATACTTTTGTATGCCCTTTTAATGATATTCTTTTTGGACGGTTTTGAAGTTGAGGATAATTTTTGATGTTGAGAAATATAGTTTTTGGATGGTTTGGAATGCACAGACAGTTTTTGGATGTTTGAAATTTATGTTTAGTTTTTTTGATATTAGAAATAATATTTTGGTGGTTGATTAATGTTTTGTAATACTTGTTTGTAATATTTGTTAGATTGTACAAAATTGTTAAATAGAATTTGCTAAATTTTTATTTTTATTTTTTTTATAAAAAAAAAACTGCATATTCTACGGTAGGCATAATAAGTCGTTGTATTACATATTTTATGACAAACAATCAGCGTCATTATTTCTCACCAATTAACGGCGTGCAAAAGTAGTTGTAAAAAAAGTAATAACGATATACAAAATCTGTCGTTAAATAGTTTTTAACGGCGTACTATAGCATGTCGTAGAAAAAGTAACAACGGCGCACAAATCTGTCGTTAAATAGTTTTTAATGACGTACAAAGTATGTCGTTGAAAGTGAATGACTTTCTATTAGGGGTGCAACTCGGGCGGGTTCGGTCGGGTTGGGGGTCTGCCAAGCATATCTGACTTCCTCCAATGAGGATTTACGCACGAGAGGGGAATCGGTCGACCTTGTTGAAAATAGTCAGCTATTTCATGTGTACATGGCAACCCATATGTACGTCGCAAAATGCAGCTACGTGTAGCAACATCTATTCCCACACTATTCGATCTCTTTGACTCTATTAATATTTTGTCCAAACTACAAATTGAAATAAAATCACGTGACTCAGTGAACTCAATAGGTGTGTAGTTGTGTTGGACTACAATCAAACTTTGCTGAAATGAGGCTTTAATGTCTGCATGTTGTAACTCTAACAAACTGATTATTTTGGTCCAAGATGTCTCGAAATTGCATTGACTTGATCCAAGTTGCCTCTTCAATTTAGCATGAGAACTCTCCGCCCTACAAGTATGTATATTTTGGTATTTAATATAAAATTCAAAAAATTATAGCAATTCATAAATGTAATGAGCATAATTTACCTGTTTGTAGTAGTATTTTCGAAATGAATAGTGTTGTCTGCTTAAGCTGCAACAAATTTTTCCTTGTATGGCTCTAACCAATTGGTAGTAACGTACTTAATAGCTTCAGGATACATACTAAATTCGATCTTGAGATTGAAAATTTGTTCATTGAATTCTGTTTTGGTTTTAACCATTATCAAAGTACTCCAACTATACATGAACTTATTCCATTATATTTCGTCTCAAAAACCTTCTTGCACTTCATCATAACATTCTTGCTATTATGCCATCTACATAAAAGATTAATGGCCATAGGTAGAACTTTTGAGATGGCTTTCATCGAAGCCAACTCTCTATCTGTAATAATGATTTTTGGAAAAGCAATATTCTCCATAACAGTACGCAATACGCCTAAAGCCCATGTATTGTTGTCCTCCCGTTCATAACCAAGATAAGCAAAAGCAACTGAAAATGTCGAGTCCGTTGATGTTACCCCAATAATCTCTAAAAGAGGGAGTCGATACCTATTAGTCTTGTATGTGCAATCTATAATCAACACATGTGGAATGCACATAACAACTCCAAATTAACCGGGTGTGCCCAGAACAAGTTAGTCACCATCTCCTTATCATCACATCGATGCCACTCAACATAATTTTGAATTGACAATTGCCCCAATAATTGTTGCATCGGTGATCTTCCTGCCCTCTGTACTACTCGATGTCAATGACGTGCGTTGTAGATTGTTAGCCCCAAGGTTATTCAAATATACATTCTTATTGATTTGATTATTGACAAGTATTTTGAATTCATTTTATTATTTAAAGTTTTCAAAATAATACTATACAAATTGTGCTTCAAAGGTTCTAGAAGTTATATGATTCTAGAGTGTTGTTTTTTAATGATTTTTGGCCCTTCAAAACATGAGATTAGCACTCGGATGCAAAATTCTAGTTATACTTGAAACAGGTCCTAGGGTTGACACCAAAATAGCAAGGGTCGACACCAGAGTAAAGCTCGAAATGTCTAAGTGTTCCAGAAGAAAGGGTTGACACCAAGACAATAAGGGTCAACACTAAATTTCAGAATGAAATCGAGCAGCAAGGATCGACACCAAGAACAGCAAGGGTTGACATTAAATTTTAGAATGCAATCTACCAGTAAGGGTTGACACCAAGAACAACAAGGGTCGACACTAAATTTCAGAATGCAATTTAGCAGTAAGGGTCGACAGCAAGAATGATAAGAGTTAACACCAGGAACATCTAGAACTAAACTCAGAAAAGAGAAGAAGAGCAAAAGGTCGACACCCAATTTGCAGGGATCGCCACCTGTAAAACCTGGGTTTCAAAAATCCAACTGCCAAATCAAATCTGGACTGACACAACTTTTTTCTCAGCCAATTTTTTAGATTTATGTGCAAAATATGTCATCTTTTCTGATCTCTGAGCAGATCTTCTGGCACCATATCCTCTCCAAGAAGTTGACCTATGAAAGAAAGCATTAAATGAAAAGCTTGTGCATTTAATGATCCTTCTCTTCCCAAGACCTGTCTACAATCTATATACATCATGCCCTGACCAAACACAATTGGAAGATATCTTCCATGATTTGCTTCAACGGCTAGAAGATTCAAATCTCATCTCTATAACAACTAGAAGCCATTAATGCTATAAAGAATAAGCTCTTCTTGTTCAAAATACACACTTCTTCAACACAACAAACCTAGAGCAATCAAGAGCAATCAAGTGCTTTTAATTTACTCCTTTGTACTTCCATTTTCACATTTGAGTGAGACTTAAATTACCTTTGAGCTTACATTTTCATACCCATCTTTTGAGAGAGAATATTTGTAAAAAATGACAGTTGAACTTCTTTCTTTTGTTCCTTATTTTTTGAGTGAAACACTTGTAAAGTGAGGCATTTAGTTGAGAGGTCCTCAACAGATGGAAGTAAGTCTTTTGTAAAAATCCACAAGCTAGGTGAAGCTTGGTGATGAATTGATTCTTAGTGAAGAAATTCTCAAGGAGGTCTCTTAAGGAGTAGACGTAGGCCGGTGAGCCAAACCAATACAAATCCTTGTGTTGAGCTCTTTTTTCCTTTCCTTTTATTTTCTATGTATTTATCGATTGTCTGCTGTATTTAATCACTTAGTCTTTTGAAATCTATTTTTTGGCCAAAATTTTTAATTACCCAATTCACCCCCTTCTTGGGTTGCTTTCCTGTATAACAGTTGGTATCAAAGCCTTGTCTCTAGTATTGTGACTTAACCGTCTTAGAGAGGCCTATGGCAACCCCTAGCTCCTTTCTTCCTGAAGGTCAAGCCTCAAACCAACCACCCTTCTTCAATGGCACAAATTTTAACTATTGAAAAACCCGTATGATTATGCATATCCAATCTATTGACTAAGAGGCTTGGAAAATTATATGTGATGGTTCTAAAGTCCCCACCAAAACCATAGACGGTCTGTTAGTTCCCAAACTTGAGAGTGAGTGGACTAGTGTTGATTATAAAGACATTTAAACCAATGCCAAAGCTGTTAATATGTTGTATTGTGCACTTGATGCTACTGAGTTTAACAGAATATGCACTTGTACAATGGCGAAAGAAATTTGGGATAAACTTATTGTCATTCATGAGGGAACCACTCAAGTTAAAGAGTCTAGAGTGAGTTTGCTTGTTCATAACTATGAGCTCTTCAAGATATAAACTTGATGAGAATATATCCCAAATGTTCACTCGCTTTACGAATATTATAAACAGCCTTAAATCTCTTGGGAAGACTTATACTAATGCAGAAATTGTTAGAATAGTCCTCCGTTCATTGCCAAAAAGCTGGGAGAACAAAGTTATTGTAGTGATAGAAGTAAGAGACTTGTCAACATTAAATCTTGATGAGTTAATGAGATCTCTTCTAACTCATGAGATCATTATGCAAGAAAGAAAAGAAGAAGAAGACAAGAATAAGAAGAAATAGATGGCTTTCAAGTCTACCTCAAAATCTCAAGAGGAAGAAGAAGATGCTTCAGAGGAAGATGAAGAAATGGCTTTCATTACCAAAAGGTTCAAAAAATTTGTGAAGAAAAAACAAGATGTAAGGAAGTTTTTCAGAAAAGACTTTAACAAGGATTTAAAAAAAAAAGAGAAAATCAAAAAAAAAATATGAAGTTACTTGCTACGAATGCAACAAGCCGGGACACTACAAATTGGAATGTCTAGAGCTTAAGAAACAATTCAAAAAGGATAAGAAAAAAGTCATGATCGTAGTATGGGGAGAAAACAGTGATGACAGCGACTCAAACACTGATATTTGCAAAAATGAAGCCGCAAATCTATGCTTGATGGCACTTGAAGATGAAAATGAGGTAAATGATGAATCATTTACTTTTGACGAATTACAAATTGCCTTTGATGAATTGCTTGCTGAATTTAAAAATTTGAGTTTAAAAAGTAGATCTCAAAAGAAAGTGATTTTGAGTTTATCACAAGAAAAGGAATCATTGACTTCTAAGATCAATACTTTAGAAAATAAAGTCTTGTCAATGGAAAAGGAAAAAAAAATTTCAACTGAAAAAGAATCTTCCACTTTTGAAAAGAAAATAGATGATTTGCAAAAGGAAAATGAAATTTTGAAAAAGGAGAAAATTATTTTAAATGAAAACATAGAAGATTTAAAAAAATGTTCTTTCAAAATCCACTCAAGGTAGAGATACTTTAGATAAAATTCTCAGAAGTCAAAATCAAACATTTAGAAGGATGGGGATTGGATATAAACATTTTTCAAAAGCAAAAAATTCCAAAAAGATATTTGTTCATGCATCATCTAACCATTCTCATCTCACATGCCATTATTGTGGAAGAACAGGTCATATCTCTCCTTCATGTCCGACTAAAAGAAACTCATTTGTTAGAATGAAAAAGAAGTGGGTTCCCAAAAACACTTCAACTTCTAACTTTTATTGACCCAAGAAAGAATGGGTACCAAAAAGCCAACAAAAATCTGATTTTTGCAGGTGTGCTTTAGGTCAAAATCTAGCAACAACCGATGGTACTTTGATAGTACATGCTCAAGGCACATGATCGGCGATAGA